TATTGTTATCTTATCATTGTGTATGATTATGTATGGTTTAGTTTGGATTATTTTGGTTGTTTTTCCACATATTTTCATTTTAGGTCGAATTGGTAAAATCGACAGAAACCGATGTTTTCACGGTTAGAATTTGAAATAAATTGTGTAGTTTAGTCGAGGAATGTTAGGCCGTGACTATTGAAACTTGTTTGATTGAATTTGGGTGATTTCGTAACTTTTGCCATTTGTGGATAATTGAGGGTTTGAGATTTGAGTGGAAATCAGACATCGTAGAAATCGTGTTTAATGGTTTTAATTCACTGTTATATGTTAAGTGAGTATGAGTATGTGTTTGTTTCGAAGGAAAGGATTGAATCGGTCGGATTTTCGGGCAAAAATGCAAAATCCCGTAGCAGTTTTTAGGCAAAATTCTGGTTTTTCAGAAAACTTCAAAAATTCATATCTTTTGATCCGTAAGTCAGTTTTAGTCCTCGTTCGAAGCGTTGGAAAGCTAAAGAGATGTTCTTTCTAGGAAAAATAGTTTTGATGTCAGTGTATGATCCAATTATAGCAGAAAATTTGAAACGTGTCATTTTGTCAACTTTTACCGTCGTGAACGGGTGCGTTTGATGTGTTATCATACTGTATGTTTTCGATATATAACGTGTAGCTTGTGTGCTGTTATATGATATGCTGTAGGTAGCCGTATGGCATGAATCCTAAGTTGTGGAATATATTGTGAATGTATATAGATTGTATGTGATAGAATGAGATGAATGCATGAATATATTGTAAATATGTATGCATTTCAAGAGTGTCTTGAGTCATTTTGTATGTGAAGCATAATGATGTACATTCTTGTGTTATGTGATTCTAATGAGAATCAGTTGTAATGTCGTGTGCCTATGTGAGGTGTGAGCGATGATTACAAACGATTGTGTGCCTAGGTGAGGTGTGAGCAATCGGATTGTGTGTCTATGTGAGGTGTGAGCAATCCACAAACATTGTGTGCCTATGTGAGGTGTGAGCAATTGGTGAACATCGTAGGCCCGACGGGGAGTTACATTGGTAACGAGTGATGGTTCCAATAAGTTCCTGAGTGAACTTGATATGATTGAGTCGGTACCGCATTGCATTTGCATAGAGTCGTGAGTCGGTCTCTATGATTTCCGTTTATCATCTTTATAATTGTGCATTGGTGAATAAACATAAATGTGTGTGCTTATGTGGAATGATAAGAATTATGAAAGTATGCATGATGAATATGCTTGGTTATATATATATATATATATATATATATATATATATATATATATATATATATATATATATATATATATATATATATATATATATATATATATATATATATATATATATATATATATATATATATATATATATATATATATATATATATATATATATATATATATATATATATATATATATATATATATATATATATATATATATATATATATATATATATATATATATATATATATATATATATATATATATATATATATACACACACACACACATTGTGATGTATATGAGTGAGTTGTGATGAATTGTGGTGAGAATGTAGAATATGTGTATTTTTATGCTAAGATATATAATTATATGCATTGTTGTTATGATAATATTTCTCACCATTCTGCTGTTTTATGATGCTCTATGAGGCATTGCAGAGTAGGTATGCTGGTGGTCTTTTTGTGAAGCGTGTCTTCATTCTTTTGGTCGGTCGACTCTGATATGTAGCACCGGGTAGCTAGGATGTCCATGATTCTTTTGTGATACATTTGTATATGTATATTGTTGATGAATGTTTATGTAAACATGACTTATGTTGTTGAATCATACTGGATGATATATATATATATATATGTTTGACGTTATCAATGTTTAGATTTTCCGCTTTTATTCTAAATTTTGTGATGTGGGTGTAAGGACTAAGTTCCTCTGTTGCAAAGTTATCCCACGGTTACATATCTTTTGTTGAGTAGGTGTTGTATGTTTTAATTTCAAGCGTAATGTGACGCGCCTCTTTTATATTATGTTTATAATTATGCTCTGAAGAAATTTTTAATATGTGACTAAATAATTATGTGATTATTTGGGGGTATAGAAAAGGGGGTGTTACATGTTGTGTTTGTGGTGGCAGAAGACAATGTTGTTATGGTGTAAACAGTAGGTGGTGAAGCAGTTTATTTTAAGGTTGTATGGATGGAAGAGTGGATGAAGAGATGTTTATAGTGTTTTGAGATGAGGTAGGAGAGTATTTGTGGCTAATAAAGATGCTTTTTTTTGTTGTTTTAGTATGATGTTTTGTATTTTTCAAGAAAGAACTTATTGAGGAGAGAGGGACCTCGTGAAGGTAATGATATTGACGAGTTAAGAAGAGGTCATGTGGGAAAGAAGTGGAAGAAATATGAAATAGCAATGACAAGGTAGGCGCATATTGTATCATTTTTTCTAAGACCTCAACGTAGTACTCAACCACTCTAACAAACCATGGTCAAATAACAATGATTTTTAACATGAAAAACATGAAAAACAATTATTTGTTTGAGCTACTCATACATAAAATGCAAGGTAGATACGAAGAAAAAAAAAAGATCTTGTGAGGTGAATTATGGTGTGAGTTGATTGAAAATGTGAAGAGTGGAAGCATGATATGAGGTGTTGTGTGTGAAGTGAGGCAAGTTTAATGGAGTGTGAGAAAAAATAGGGACCTCTTAGATCTAAATGTTGCGCCGCATGGAATCTAAGGATTGGGGTTCTCCTCTCCCTCATGCAATATGTGTGTATATACATGCTAGATTTAAGTTTACTATATGAAACAAATAACAAAAACCTCTTTTCAAAACTTAATAAACAAGTTTATTAAAAAAAATTAAAAAAAACTTTTTTTTATACATAATAAAAAGAAATATAAATGATAAAAATAAATTAAATTTAATTTAAATTAATTATCTAATTAACTAATTATATTAAATAAATATTTAACTCAAAATTAAAAATAAAATGATAAAAAAAAACAAATAAAAAGTCAGGTATCAAAGGGCTAATAAAAATGACTGGACCAAAATGATTATCGCAAAACAAACGACTCAAAAAAATACAATATTTGGCCAAATTTCGAAATAAAATTTTCCCAGTTAACAAGCTCAGACTCATCAAAACTTAACCGAAAAACAGTTGAAAAAATAAAACGAGCACCCAAGGTTAAGTTACGTGAAACTTAGATTAATATAAATGACGTCTGCAAGCTCAATTTTGAAACTTTCCGTTCACTGATTTTACGCACAATTGACATTCAGTTTGACCGATTTGTCTGTAAATTCAACAGATTTATTCTAACTAATAATTTAGACATTATGCATGATGAAAAACATGTTATACTATACAAATGATACAAAGTTAAAATTATGTCAAATGAATTGAAGTTTTAAAATGCCTTGTTAAAATTTGAGGTATGACAATTTTGTTAATTGGAATTACACTTTAAACACTAAAAAAATAAAAAATAAAAAATAAAAATAAAAAGTTCGTGTAGACCTCTCCATACCACACATTATACACTATGCAGTATACATATGGATATCTTAAAAAGCATGTTAGCATTCTAGGAAGTTTTACAATCACTTTCTAAAGAATACTTAAATAAATAAAATGACTCGCATTCTGATAAAGGAAAATAGCCAACAAGCAACTAGAGTAACATAAAGAAAAAAGTTCAGTCTAACAATGTAATCATCACTAATTACTCAGAATGCATAACTTGAAGTGTTCTCCCACTAAAACAAACCTTCTACATAATACAAACTATACCAAAGAACCCCAAAAACACTCCAATGAAATGCAAAACAAAAATCCATCATAAACACAAAAAGACAAAAACGCAGTCATGCAAAGCATGGGCGAAAACAGAGCCAAAAACAAAAATGCTAATAAACAATATGTGTTTTGTGACTTTCAATTTTGATTGAGTTCACAACCTTTGATTCTGATTGGAATATTTGGCCTCTGTATCCAGTCCTATTCTTATATATGTAGGATACATGCAAAGCATCAGTGATAAGGCATGACATTCCTTTACAGATCAATATTTGTTACAAGTCTAATCACTATTCTCAAACTAATGAAATGACATATATCAGCCATATAAATAGAAGAGCAAAAATAAAATATAAAGCACTGTACGCCAATAATCTTTATTTGGAGTAGATAATCAAAATAGGAAAGACAAAATGTATGCAGAACATGTGAAAATTCTCTACATGCAATCAACAAACTAAGTTATATCAAATATCAATAAAAGACAGAAATTAGATATAGTATAGACCTTTTATGAGGTAATATTATATATAAATTTTTTATTCGATCCAACTTTTGGTTGCAGTACACCAGCATAGAAAGAATAAAATTATCTTCATAACAATAAATAGCTTGGAATTTGGAATGAGAGAAAGCATGATATCATGTAAAGAACTTTATATAAGTAGGAGCTTACTCTTATTGTCTAACTTTTGAGGCGTGTTGTCAATTTTCAGGACATGATTCACTTTGTAAGTATCTTATATGAACACAACATCATGTTAAAGAGTAGTTTACAATCAAGCCAGGTCTAGAAAACCAATCATAATACCTGAGATGCCAAAAACTAGAAGACACTTTCTAACTAGTTAGCCTCTTTCCAATAGTTTAAACATTCCTCTACTATTTCAGCCCTCTCTGCCAAGAAATGCTTGAGACGGTTTTTACAAACAACACAACTTCAAAGTCAATATATATAGTGTACCCACTCATGCTGCTAAACATAGATGTTATCAAGTTGGTCGTGTTTAGAATGCACAAGTTCCTCATGAATTTAATAAAAATAGCTGTATTATGCGTCTACACACCTTTTCAAAAGGCATTTCAGTCTCAACATCAACATCAATAGAAGAGTGTTTTCCAACATGACAAACAAGTAAAATAACATATATTCCTAAGATGAAATTGAGATTGAATCAAGAAGGCTTGACATATGTATTGTCCTCTCTAAACTTTGCAATTTGACTCCTAATCATTAGCTCCACATGGGGTTGAACAAACATGTGAGTACTATCCAAGACATGTATTATAAACTTGTCACATGCAGGCATTGAAGCATTCATATTTATGATATATTGAGCCATAGGTATGTCACTGCACAACAACAACAACAAAACGCTATTACTACAAATTAGATGCTAATAAAGATCAAGTAAGTGAAAAACCCTAAAATATTATAAATGGCAACAAAATTGCAAGAAAAAATCAAAATTTTCGGGAAACAAGGTTTGCAATGGAGTAATTAGCATAGAGATAGTGATTAATTCCGGAAAAAAAAAGTGATTAAAATTGAAAGAAAGAGTGAGTGATGGGAATAAACCAGGAAATGAAGACGCCTTTTGTTGCATTGACCATGATAATGGCTGGAAAGATAGTAATAGAAGAATAGAGATCTGCTGCAGGCAATTCTTTTGCAGGGCGGGTCCGGCAGGTATTCCGGCCAGTTGAGAGAGCAAAGCAGCGGCGCCTCCTTTTTCTTATGAGATGGATTGGGAATTCCGAGTTTTTTCTGGTTATGTAGGGGTTTTCATATCCGGGTGAGACGTCATTAAAAGCAAATCTTTTCTTTATTCAATTTTATATCTTCTTTTTATTTACAAACGCTTACATATTTTCTCTCCGGAAAAAAAAATCGTTGTTTCGTTTATTGAAAATTATACCCCATAATTCAATCATTTAGTCTCCTGCATTATATTTTATTTTACCAAAATACATTCATATAAATAGTTTATTTTTCAAAAAAATTTACTTTTCTTCAAGTGTTTTAATATAGAAAAATTTTCTTTCATCGGAACACTTCAAGCAATTCTTCTAATACATAAATTACAAACTGAAACAACATTAGTAAATTCTTTGATCTTATAATCTCATCGAAACTATTAAGTCAATTCTTCTCGTTCTTATGCTACACACCAGAACTCATTTGCAAATCTTTCAATTTGTTGAAATCATTACCGAAACTCCTTGCAAAGTGGTCTGGTATTGTGAAAAGTTAATATATTCAAACACTTGTGAGATGTGTTCCAGCTTCTTTTTTCTTGAAGTATTTTTTTTGTTATTTTGACAATGGTGCGAACATGAGGCAGAGACAATAGGATTCTAGAGTGTGGGGTTAGGACAAGACACTTCATTGACATTGACAGGTGAGGAAGAACATATTGGTGCATATGCGTTCGTACCACAATCGATTGACTTTTCAAGAGGGTTGTACAATATGTATCTTCTGGTAAAGTACGAGCATCATGTTGATCAACATTTATGTTTTGATGAGGTAAGTAAATGACATTTACTACATATTGAATGATATTTAAATTTTTAATCATGTGTTTTATAATATGTATACTTTTAATTATTTTTAGGAGAGAGGTCCAAAAAAAGAGCTGAAGATTGTTGGACATAGGCTAAAGCTTATAGAAAGGGTCCATCATTGTCTCCCACCAAAGATGGAGAGTTTGATGACTCAGTCTGGTCTATGTTCACTTCAGAGAACCAGTTTGACGAAGATAGACACAAACATGGTATCATCATTTGTAGAGAGATGACATCTAGAGACATCTTCATTTCACATGCCATTTGGTGAGATGAACATTACTATGGACGACGTCTTTTGTCTATTTCACCTGCCCATCATGAGAGTGTTCCAGACCCCTTGAGATGTCACTAAAGATGTTGTTGAACTTGATGTTGATTACTTAGGAGTGCCATAGAGTGATGCAGCACGACATGTTTGTAGCTGCATAGGTGGTTATTATAAGTTGGAATGGTTGTACGACTTATATATAGGCCATCGGTCTGCTTGTAGATGGGTCTTTGCGACCAGAGCGTATATGATGATGTTGGTGGGTTCCACAATTTTTGTCGACAAGATTTTTACACTTGTCGATGCACATTATCTGTTACTATTTACGAACTTGGAGAGATGTGAGGGATATAGTTAGGGAGCAGTTGTGTTGGTAACCCTCTATCGATATCTCAGAGATGCTTCCGTGTTCACTTGCAAGCAGCTCGGTGGATATCATACTCTACTACAAGTATTTAGTTTATTTATTTTTATTTATTAGATTTGTTTATTTTATTTAGTTTATTTATTTTTATTTGTTAAATTTGTTTATCAATATAGTATTAATTTTGTAACAATGTTGGATTCATAAGTATTTTCAGACTATTGGAAAAAGAGGAGAGAATTGGAAATCGACTGATAATTGTAGACTTCCTCGAGCTATGAGATGGTGTTATGAGCAAGGAGTCCTGAAGGTGGATGAGTTGAGACCAATTTGGATGATCTTACACCTACAAATGTCATATGATACCCTTTCGAGGATCATAGAGTATGGCACCAATTTGACAAGTTATATCTGTACAAGGGGTGTTTGAAGTGGGGTGACACAGTTGTTCCATACTTTCCTGACAGACGTATATGTGAGTTTGGATACATGCAATATGTTCCACCCCACCTTCTAATTATATGATGAATATTGATGTTAAATGGATTTGTTACCATTAAAGTGTCGTTAGCGTGATTCGTCTGACAGCATTAGTCACCATTCCACCTGATATAGATGTCAGATACCTATAGTGTTATTATCGTGTTTCACATCCTCGGTTGGTACTGCCCCGTCAGGATGCGCCATGAGAGGTGTTAGTTCCTATTTACAAAGTAGGACCATCTGATCCAAGTTGGGCTCGTGTTTCTACCCGACTTTATTGTTATCTCCGAAAAGTTGGTGCTAAGGAGAATGACCCACAGTTTGCTGATTTATTTGAAGCCTTGCACATTTCTTGTTCGCATTGATTTATGTTTATATTTTTCATATGTATTAACTTTTAAACTTATGTTTAATTTCTCATTTGTTATGTGAACTTGAGAGATCTACATTAAAACTCAATGACATAGTTTAATTTTTGTTTCATGTTTTGATTGCATATTTTAATACTCAATGGCCGAGTATACTTATGCTAAGCTAACACAAGATGGTAATATAGGCGTAAGTAGTTGCCAATGTTATAGACATCCTATAAATCCAAACATTCAAGATATTGTTGTAGGAGAACGAATCTTCTTCCAATCTAATGTGACTGGTAGCAATGGAAACCCCTTTTTCATGTTTACCTGATTATAAAAATAATTGAAACAATAAGTCATATATTTAAGAAAGTAAAGTAATGCACAAATTTTGGAGACATTTGGTGAATGTGAACTTATCATAGAAAAGAAAGTCATGCACAAATTTCCTAAACGTATAAGTACGACATTATAGAAATTTGCTATCAAATAACCCATATCTGGTAGAGTCAACCATTTCTCTGATGGCTGAGAACTAAAGGGCTTTATCATCAAAGATTCTCTCATTTCTGATAACCGGATTCCAAATAACTTAACATACAAACTTGACCTTCTTCGTCTCTTATTTCCATTTCCAAGTCTCGACGAACCATTGTCCAGCCATTTTCACTATATGCATGCAACGATGCAATGACTCTAAATCAACAATTACCATCTGATGCAACATTAACTACATATTTAATATATGACCTAATATGATTAGGAAATTGAAGAGAGAACTGATGCAACATTAATTGCTTCTTCGATTGTGAATGCTTCTTCAAAGTTTGTGATGGTTGAGATTGCCTCTTTAAAGTTTGAGATGCTTGATTAACATACTCATGAGATGAAGGATCCCTATAAACATCATATCCTACTGGTTTCTTCCCTTTATTCATAGCTCCTTTGTTTTTTAATTTCTCAGGTGGTGGATACATTGAAGTCGTTATGGGGTAAGCATGTTCACAAACCCTACCTTTTAATTCTCTTTTCCCAACAACATCTAGTGACCAAAACCTTTTACACAATTCATCTATTTCACTACTCATATCCACCCCTGATCCATCATCTACATCTACCTCCATCTCAACTTTCATACTTATTTTCCTCAAATAAACATGAATAATGTTTATTGGTATCATTATCACAAGCACAAGGTAACCCATAAGATGTTCTAAGATTACAATCACATATTAGTCTATTAGTTCCAACATAATCAACCCTCAATAACTCTTCAGTAATGCGTCTAAAAGCAGCTTGAGATACTGAACCACAAAGATTACCATAAAATAGACTTAGGTGCGCGTGCTCAACTTCATAAAAACTTTTTTGAAAAGAAGCTCTATTGTTTCCTAGTTGTAACTTCAAGTTATTATTCATAGACTCCTAACATTTAACCATGTCACATATATTATTCCCCAACATCCGCTTAAACTTCCAATGGGCGGACTAAACCCTAAAATTGAAAAAAAAATTAAACCAACACATAAAATAAATACATAGTAAAAATACTAAAAAATATATACACCGGTTAGTCGTGATGTTACCTAAATGTAGAACTCAATTAATCCATGCTCTAACAAATCTATTCTTATGAGGAGTCAACCATGTGTCTTTTCCATAATCAATAAATTCACTACAATCAACACATGTCTGCTCAAGTTGTTGCAGTCGTTGATCATACTCAACCTTATCACTAGCCCATACAACTTCCATCCATAATGTGGTAGTCGCCTTTTGCATGTCATTCACCACATTATGCTTGCATTTTGAACCAATATTTTTTTTAATATGAAATCGACATAACAAATTTATCGTCCTTGGAAACACAACTTCAATTGTTTTTATCATATCAAGATCTCTACCCGCCAACATCACTTGTGGACATAAATATTTCTTCACAAACAATTTTTAGAGCTTATCCATAACCCAACAAAAATTCTCTATCTGCTCAAATTCCATATAAGCAAGTGCAACACCAAATGTCATCTCGGTTTATGTCATACAAAAAATTTCAAATAGAGGTTGTCTCTAATTATTTGTCTTGTAAGTGTTGTCCATAACTAAAATAATAAGAAAAATATTCAACAACTTAATTGAATCTGGATGGGCCCAAAAAATATCTCTCATAACTTTCGATTCATCTCTTTTTCTACTCTAGTAAACATAACATGCGTCCTCTACAAGCTTAAATAAATGTTGCATCTCACTTATAGGACCTCTGATCTCATTTTGTAATTTACTCTTATGCTTATATATTTGCGTGATCCAAGTGACATTCTTCAGATTTTGCTCTTGCAAGGAAAACAACATGTGTTTAGGTGGAATATATCTCATTGTCAAACTAACAATATGGTGTTTCTCGCTTGTGCTCAACCTGCCAACAAAGGAACGACCTTCTAATCTATCAGGTAAACCATGGTTATAAAGTCCATATTTTACATCAACCTTCCATCCAGACCCATCTTTCGCCGGAGTCAATCTGATTTTGAATGGACATCCATATTTCTTAGTCGCACTTTGTAATATACTATATGTATCCTTGTATTTCCCACCTTTACCACAACCAAATATTACTTTGTTGTTTCTCCCTCTCTCGCCTGTTTCGGTATCTGAATGGTTGATAATAACAATTACTTTATTTCTAGTTCCAACCTATTTAATCCATGTCGTCACCTCTTCTCGTGCATCGAATATTTGTGTTGTTGAAAATGCATCAGAGGTATCTAGACATATTTGATTTTTATCGCATATTTCTAGAGGAATTTCCATACCTGCAACATAAAAAATATATAAAAAAAATAAAAAATACAAACCTGACATCTTGACATCAAGTCTTTCGGTGTACAAAAAATGAAAAAACATATATCTTTTCACAAAGTACTCCGGTACACATCAACATGCAAGCCAAAATACATTTGGCAAGTGTTTCGATACAATAAAAGTTTTAAACGAATACCAGAACTTTTTTTCAAAGTTCTCCTAATGGTTAATAAAATACAAATCGGATATATTAATCAAAGTGATCCAGTACACAAATATTACGTACCAGAACTTATTTGTAAAGTCTTTTGGTACACATACGTAAGGGTGCAATTTTTTAAAAGTGTCAAATCAATAGTAAAACATAAAATGGTAAATTAGTTTAAAACATACAAGGGTAAAGTTGGCATTTTTTTATAAAATGTAGGGGTATGAAGTAAATTTTTCTCATTTATTTTTATGAGCCCGTGATTCTTTCTTTTTGGATTCACAAATTTCATTAGCTTTAGTTTAAGAATTGTTAGATAGAGACTATCATGACGTCGTAACATTTTTTTCTTTAAATTAATTAAAATTATGCAAAAAATTAAAATATGTTATAGTTTATATTTTAAAATAATTTAAATTTGTACATATACGATACACCAAATGATAACCTTATCAACGAATAGTTGTTAAAAGTCACTATTGTTTCTCCGAGTGAAATTACACATTTCTCCGTCACCGGCTTCTGTAATGTAGTAGTTGATTTGGTTTAAAGTCGAACCAATATAAACTTTGGATGTTCTTTTCTTTCTGTTATATTTTTTATTTTAGTTATTTATTCTTCCTTGCTTAATCTCTACTTCATCTATTTTCTTAAAATCAATCAATTAAATTAACAATTTTTTAAAAAATTTAAAAATATGTTTTTATCATAATTCACCTTATCTTGTTTTTGAAGTTATTTGATTTATGTACTTTTCTATTTTACTTTTATTTCTATTTTGGATTAAAATCCTAGTAGGGTTTTTTTTTTTTAATTTCTGTTTTTGATTAGAAACCCATTAGGGTTTTCTTTATGTATTTAAACACCTTTGAGTGTGGCCATCAAAGTCATATTTGATTTAATAAAGATAAAGTATTTTTTATCTGGTGGATTCCAGAGTTTATCTGACAAGTTTTGTACTTGCAATCATGTATTCTCATTCTAGGTTTAGCGCTTGCTAATCCTTAATGTTTTCGACTGCGTTATCTTGGCTTTAACTGCGACTCTAACTGCTTTGATTGGACAGGTGGAAATTTTAGAAAATCAGGTGAACAACGTTAACAACAACGGAATTAGCAAAGACAAAGGGAGGAGAACACGTTATGGTTTCGTGGGGTCTCAATAATTATCATGTTGTTATTGCTGAAAATTTGAGCTCTGGAGAATAAGAACCCTACAAGGAAGAGGTAGTTGATCATGGGAATCTACATAACCATGATTGTCGAGTGAAGGTTGATATTCCATTATTATATGGAACGATGGGAGTGAAATAGTTTTTGATTGAAAGATCAACGTTAACATGTTCTTCGACATTATATGTGTTCTTGAGAATAAGCAAGTTAAGTTGGTGGCGATCAAGATAAAGAGTAATGTTGTTGTCTGGTGGAATAAACTTGTTGTTCACGGGAAAAGGTAAAGGAAAAGACCAATCAAATCTTGGTAAAGAATGAAACAATTGATGATGGAGCAGTTTTTACCGAAGAATTATGAACAAATTCTTTATAAGATGTATATTGAGTGTGTTTAGGGCAAGAGAACTATGATTGAATACGCAGCTCACTTCCTGCATTTTTTAGCGCTATGAATTGGGAGAATCGGAGAGGCAGAAAGTGGCTCGATACATCAGTGGCTTAAAGGGATCCTTGCATGAGAAAATGGGTTTACAAATCATATGGACCGTAGCTGACGCATCTAGTCTAGATTTCAATGTAGAATTAATGGAGAAATCCCCTCAAAATTTCTCATCTTTTAGGTATTCTCCCCAAAATAAATTTGAATCAATAAGTGACAAGGAAAAGAGTGCAACAACCAGGGATTCCAACCTTGAGAATAAGGGGACTAGCAACCCTAGTGGTGTGCAGAATTGTAAAGCACCAATCCATAGGAAGAATAATCCATATGCAAATCCCACCTGAGGCACATGTTATCTTTGTAATGGAAGAGGTGACCGATAAAATGTTTGTCCAACAAGGAGAGTCGTTGTTGTTGTGAAAGAAAGGGAAGAGGAAAAGGAAAGAGAAGGATATGCACTTTAGAATGATGAATATGTAGGGGTTGAGTTTACAGAAGAAGAATTTGATAAGAGATTAAATTTTGTGTTACACAAATTTTTACTAGCATCCAACGATGAAGTGCAGTGCAAAAATTTGTTTAAAACACATTCTTCTATCAAGAACGTGGTGTGTAATTTGATTGTAGATATTGGCACCATAAAAAATCTGGTTTTGCATAAATTGGTAGATTATTTGAAGTTGTCCACAGAACCCCATGAGAAACCATACATCCTCGGATGGGTAAGAAAGGGCTCCCAAGTTTGAGTAACACTAGCCTTTAGAGTTTATATCTCCATCAGAAAACATTACAAAGAAGATGTAATTTTATGTTCTTGATATGGATATTTGTGATATTTTAATTGGTAGACCTTGGTTGTTTGATAATGATATAACTTATCGAGGACGAGATAACATGATGATGTTCACATAGGGCACACACAAAATTGCTATGGCTCATATTTTGCACTTTGATAAGAATTCAAGACGAAAGAAATATAGTTTTTTGGTTTTGATGATGACACAAAGTGAAAATGAGCTTGATGAGGTTGTTAAAGAAGTATATTTTCTCCTACTATTATGGCTCTTCATTTATATAGGAGAAAAAATGGCTCAAATGGAAATAATCCGTGGGCCAAATTAATGGCCTAGTCAATTAGGCTAATTGATTAGGTACCTAAAATAATCGATTGTTGTGGCCCAAAATAAAAGGTTTTGATATAAAGTTGTTACCAATCATTAGGGGACTATCTTAATCAATTATAGACTTGATTAGGCATCATCTAATTAATTGCACAAATGATCTAATTGATTAGACAGTTTTGAAAAAGTTTCTTAATCAAGCAGACAATTGTCCTAATAAACTGGCTAGGCCTTAAAAGCATTTTTAAGTGACTTTGTTAAGTAAAGAGATGTCTTTAAAGTATTATAAGTGTGTGTATATGAGTTTCCTTAGTATCTTAGGATTTACTCTCCTACTTTCAGATGACGCTGGTCACTCAGATAGACATGACTAGATGAGCTTTCACACTTCCTC